TTACATTCCTCATGTTATGCTACTGTCATTTTTTCTAAAAATCTATTTGCTACATGAATTAATCCATCACACACATAAACTTTGCAGTAATAAAGTACTGCAGTTAATCTTCTGTGAGAAAATACTATTGCGGAAATCAAATATAAATGAAGTACTTTAATTGAATTGAGATTTACATATAAAAATTGGAAGACTTTTCCTAATATATTATTTAGTAATTCAGAAGTCAAACAACAAAAATCAGCGTTATACCTACAAAATTTTCACAGGACTAGTTTCGATGGTTTTACCGAACCATCATCTTCAGCTGCAAAACCGCAAATGAACAAGATAGGAAATAATGATTAGATAAGATAAGAAAGCCTGGACAAGAATAAGCAAGTGGCGCCATCTGTTGGCGAAACCAGAACTAAAACATAATTTCTCTAAAAGCCGAAGGCAAATTTGGATTGGAATTAGGATCGTTAACTAGAACAGAAAGATTTTTATGAATGTGAAATGCCTCTAGAAAATCCAGTTCTCCAATGGAAGATGTTTTTTGAATAATTTTGGCAGCAGAAAAATTGAAAGTGTGATTTTCGGACCAACAATGTTGAGCAATAGAAGACCTCTGTGTTTCCTTTTTTCTAACATATGCCTCATGTTCTTTGACGCGAAATTTTAAGGCTCTCTTAGTTTGGGCCAATGTAAATTAAACCACACTGGCAAGGAATCCTATAAATACCCCAGGAATTCATATCCGGAATGGGGTCCTTGAGTATAGAAGTTGGAATTTTATTGATGGGAGAAAAAACAACCCGAAAGTTAAATTTCTGCAAAATATGTGCAACTTTATAGCTAATTGATGGAAAGAAGGGAATGACAACAGAATTTTTATAATCTCCTAAAATAAGAGTGCGGCTTTTAGTGTGTTGAGATGAGAATTTTTTAACTGCTTGATTAATAATGTTGAGTGAAAGCCCCTGTCAATAGCTATTGCTTTTAAATAATTTAGTTCTTCATCAAGGGCTAGTTTGGAGGAGCAAACTTGAAGAGCACGGAAAACATAGGAATAAAATGAAGCTAACTTTTGTTTAGTCGGATGACATGATTTAAAGTGTGGTGGAAGGCAAACCGATGAAGGTTTACGGTAAACTGTAGTACTGAAGTTGGATGTGTTACGTGTGACCAGAATGTCGAGAAACAGAAGAGAATTGCAAGTCTCAAGTTCAAAAGTGAACTGAATAGCAGGATCAATAGAATTCATTGTTGAAAGAACTTTATTTAAATCATCTTTATTACCTTCAAACAGGGTAAAAGTATCGTCTACGTAGCGGAACCATGCCGGGAAGTTTAAAGTTTCAAACAATTTTGATTCATAATAATGCATGTAGATATCAGCCAGGATGGGACTGAGGGGACTTCCATGGCTAATCCCTCAGTTTGCTTGTAATATTTATTTTGGAAAACAAAATGTGTTTGTTTCAAACAGAGTTGAGTGAGAGAAATTAGCTCATCAATTTCGATACAAGAGAAATGAAATTCGCGAAGTCTGGTTTCTAGACATCTTAATGCCCCCTCCACTGGGACATTGGTGAATAATGATTTTACATCAAAAGAAACCATGAGTAAATTACTAGGAGAAATGTTTTTAACCTTTTTTACAAACTCTATTGAATTTTTTATGGTGTAAATGTTATTGTCTAATAGAGTGGAAAATCTAGAAACTAAATATTTAGCTAAAGGATACGAAGCAGTACCTAAATTTGATACAATAGGGCGGAAAGGAATACCACTTTTATGAATTTTGGGAAGAGCATATAATCTGGCACAATTCGCAACAGATGGAATAAGCGAATATTTTAAGTTGCTTGAAATGATTTGCGAAGATTTGATCGCAGTTTTTATTTTGGATAAGTCCGAAGGTGAAGGATCTTTAGGGATCGGATTATATGGTCCTTCGTTTAAGAGTTTAGTGACACCATCGATGTAAGTGTTCTTATCCATGACGACTATCTGGCCACCTTTGTCAGCCTTTGAAATGATAATATCCGGGTTAGAATGGATTTCGCGCATTGTAGCTCTTTCTCTCGCAGTTAGATTTGGTTTCAAAAGTTTATTATTGAATTTCACATTATGAGCGATAAGATGCCTAATCATTTCTTTCTGTGAATCTGAAACTTTTCTGAACTTGAAAGCTTTTTCGATAGGAGCCAAAATCTTTGGAATCGAGGGTTTACAGGTTTGTGAGAAGTTAAAATTATATTTCAGAATTCTCTCTTGTTCTTCTGAAAGACTAACATTAGAAATATTAACTATTGGCTTGATGTTTACAATGGGAAGATTTTTTGAACTACTTGAACTGGAAGACTGTAAAAGAAGTTTTTCGAATTTAACTGCAAGGGTGTTTTATGACGGTTAACTGCATTCTCCGTTCTAGACCAAGACTTTTGCTCAAGGCCAGTGAATTTTGGATATGATTTAGCGAGTTCCAGATGAAGCTTATAGAGTTCATGTTCAACTTTGGACAATTGTTGACGTGTATCCCTTATCACGGACCGAAGTAAGGCAAGCTTGCAATTTAACAGAATTCTTGAAACGCGACTCGAAAGTTTTTGATTAGTTTTGATTTCAATAAAATTGGGGATCAATTTTTTACATTTACATTTAAGTAAAAAGTCAAGATGATTCAGGAATTTTTGCCGTTTCTTTCGGCGTAATTTAGTGAAAACGATTAACGGATGAAGGCATGATAAACAATGCAGAAAATCAAACTAAATTAACTGAGCAATAATAAAGTACACACAAAACAGCAGAAAAATCCCTCACTGAAATGAATAGAAAACAAAACGTTTGTAAGCAAAATGCATGAAATCAGACAAGCAAAGCACAATATCCAAATGACTTCCCGGCATGGTTCCGCTACGTAGACGATACTTTTACCCTGTTTGAAGGTAATAAAGATGATTTAAATAAAGTTCTTTCAACAATGAATTCTATTGATCCTGCTATTCAGTTCACTTTTGAACTTGAGACTTGCAATTCTCTTCCGTTTCTCGACATTCTGGTCACACGTAACACATCCAACTTCAGTACTACAGTTTACCGTAAACCTTCATCGGTTTGCCTTCCACCACACTTTAAATCATGTCATCCGACTAAAAAAAAGTTAGCTTCATTTTATTCCTATGTTTTCCGTGCTCTTCAAGTTTGCTCCTCCAAACTAGCCCTTGATGAAGAACTAAATTATTTAAAAGCAATAGCTATTGACAGGGGCTTTTCACCCAACATTATTAATCAAGCAGTTAAAAAATTCTCATCTCAACACACTAAAAGCCACACTCTTATTTTAGGAGATTATAAAAATTCTGTTGTCATTCCCTTCTTTCCATCAATTAGCTATAAAGTTGCACATATTTTGCAGAAATTTAACTTTCGGGTTGTTTTTTCTCCCATCAATAAAATTCCAACTTCTATACTCAAGGACCCAGTTCCGGATATGAATTCCTGGGGTATTTATAGGATTCCTTGCCAGTGTGGTTTAATTTACATTGGCCAAACTAAGAGAGCCTTAAAATTTCGCGTCAAAGAACATGAGGCATATGTTAGAAAAAAGGAAACACAGAGGTCTTCTATTGCTCAACATTGTTGGTCCGAAAATCACACTTTCAATTTTTCTGCTGCCAAAATTATTCAAAAAACATCTTCCATTGGAGAACTGGATTTTCTAGAGGCATTTCATATTCATAAAAATCTTTCTGTTCTAGTTAACGATCCTAATTCCAATCCAAATTTGCCTTCGGCTTTTAGAGAAATTATGTTTTAGTTCTGGTTTCGCCAACAGATGGCGCCACTTGCTTATTCTTGTCCAGGCTTTCTTATCTTATCTAATCATTATTTCCTATCTTGTTCATTTGCGGTTTTGCAGCTGAAGATGATGGTTCGGTAAAACCATCGAAACTAGTCCTGTGAAAATTTTGTAGGTATAACGTTGATTTTTGTTGTTTGACTTCTGAATTAGTATTTGTTCGGCGTGTTATTGTGTCTTAATTATATTATTTAGTGTTGAAATTAGGAGAGAATTCTAGATTTTATTAGTTAAATAAAACAATTTAAAAAATTATATATTAACTTTTTCAAAAATACAGTATAAATGAGATTTTTACTATCAATTTATTCAATGTAATGTGTTACATTTCTTGAAAAACAAACATCACACAAAAATGCAATACATTTTAGAAAACGTTCAAATTATAATTTGTTAATATTTAGGAACTTTCTGAAAAAAAATATAAGCTTGTGGCTTTGTGGGCTGAACTTAGTACCCAGTACCAGAACTTAGTACCAGTAAGAAAAAAAAAAAAAAAAAAAAGCAACATAACTTTCGCGCGCGAAAAACTTAAGAAAGCCTTTTTCATGTGCATGTTTTATTTGGTGATTAAAAAAATAAATGCTGTCTGTAATGTTCAGTGTTACAAAATGAAGCGGAATATTCTATACAGCAAATAATTTTTGATTTTTGCGATGTACCACCTTAAAAAAGACACAGGTGATTCAATAATACACTTTTTTCGCTAGAAATTTTATTACACATTTCACATGAGAATCCACGGAATTTTCTATATCCACTCCGTTGTTTTTTATAAAAATAAAAGTTAGAAAGTTATTACAAATCTAAAGAAAAAACATATCATTAAAAGATACGAAAAATGGGATATGAGGAGGAAACGAATCCAAAACAAGCCTTTCATTTGTTGGCATAAAAAATTGGTCGCCAAAAGCACTCTCCGGCGGTGGCTTATTCTGATTGGTTGAATTTCTTCAGTTCCCGGCAGGTTTTAGCCGCCCGTCGCTCGGAGTGACAGCTCGAATGATATCATGTGCGCGCATGCGCCATGAGTATATCGTTACGTCACTGTAGGCATCATGGGAAATAAGTTGTAACGTGTTTGTGGACGAGTTTGGACACGTAAAGTTACGAAAATTTTTGTTGAAATTTGAAATACCGTTAATATTTTGTAATGCGGGGGTGTGCTGTTGTGAGTTGCCCTAATTGTAACGTTAAAACTTCAAATAATGTAACTTATCACCGATTTCCGGCAGATGAAGAAATTCGTAAAAAGTGGTTAGAAAAATGTGGCAGAAATCTGCAGTTCGATTGTTCAAGGTCTAGAGTGTGTTCAGAGCATTTTACGAGTGATGATTTCGAAAGGGATTTGCAAGGTGAACTTTTAGGTCAGCCACTAAAAAAACGTCTAAAGAAAGGTGTTGAACCTCATTTAAATATAGTAGCAATTAAGCAGGAGCCACTGGATCCTGAGGAGACAGTTGATGAGCATCCAGGTCTAATAAGAGTGGAACGCGTCTTTCCTGTAAGTCTCCAATTTGTAATTAATGTTGTAACTGTTGTTTTCTAATGTCTGAACTATTATATTACATAAATGGAATTTTTATTTAGTAGGAAAAATATGTGTTTAAGCTAGATTGATTATTTTCTTCGAAATCCTGCGACAATTTATTAAGAAATTAGAATTATTAATTAGTTTTCTGACTTGTTGATAATGAATATGGAAAGTGTTCCAGTAAATTACATTTTGTTAATTCTTTTATAGACTGGTAGGGCCTTACCGTAGCAATTACGCATAAATTGACCGTGCTAATTACAGATTAATAATGGATTGCTTGTCCTGTTTAATGACAAAATTTTTAAATTAGGAAGATGCATTGGAATATTATTGTGTAATTTTATTTTATGATGTTTTTCATCTATAAGAGCAAGATATTTTGTAATCGGATTGCTAGGTTATTTCTGAATGTTTTTGTGGAATTATCTATGATAATTTTTGGTCATAGTAAGTGTTATTAATACAACTGTTCTTCATGCACAATACTTTTCTGATACTCTTCATTCTTTAATAAACAAATTAAATAAATATGTCTTAAAAATCGATTAAAAAAGTAACTTAAGTAATATATTAAGAGTGTTTATGATTTATGAATGGAGTTACCATATGTCTGGGATTGGCCTAAACAATCCTACGTTGGGGAAGTAATGAGGTTTTCAGGGACTTTCCAGAGGCCCTGGTGTCTGTGAAGCTGGATTGTTACTTATATGAGTGGTTTAAAAATGATAAAACATTAAAATTATAAGTGTAGAAATCATCCAGCAAAAATTATAAACTCATAAGAAGAAAAAGATTAAGTGACACTTGAAAAAATGTGAAAGGTAAATTAATAGTAACTAAATTAAACTCATTGTCTTAACCCCGTGTGTTTAGCTTCCACTTTTTTCAAATTGCCTGTGCCAGTTAGATAACCGTATCTGCCCCTGCCTGGCTTCATAATTATGTCTAGGGCTATGTCCCAGATTAAAAAAAAAATAAATAAAAAAAAAAAATGGATAGTTATAGAATTATATATATATATAATCATAGAAGAATCTTATATAACCTTAATAATGCTTTTATCAGAATGGAGATATTTCTAGATAAAATCAGGTATAATGTGGTGAGTATTTTTGCCAACACCTCTTCCTGTCATCATCTTCCTAATAAACTTGTTTCTGAGTAGATACCATATTTTTTTTTGGTTGATCTTTACATTATGGTAACTTGGCGTTTTTTTGGCGACCAACTCTCCTACAGCAACCCTCTATTTTTTTTTTCCCCGCCGCCAAGTAAAGACATGTTTTACTGAACACTTCTTCCAACAATCTACTAGCCGAATTACACTTATGCTAGAAACTTTATCTAACAGAACTGCTTAATCATGACAAATATTCACTGCAAAATTGGGAAAAAGTGCACAATACCATACTCCTTACGCGTTTTTCAAAATAACACATACACATAAACCATGTACACGCCGAGTTATTTTTACTTAAAAAAACATCCCAGAATTGCACAAAAATGGCATTGCGCACACTCTTCACTATATCCATGTACACTGCTTTTTTCTCATAAATTAGAAAAATTTCACGAAAATACATAACAATTTTCTCAATCTTTAAACCCGGTAAAAAGAACATATATGAAATTACCTGATCGCGAAAAAGTATTTACCCTTTCCAAATATGAACATTTCCACATATAAAATAAATAAAATATCCAAAAACTTTTACCTCTAAATCATCTATTATATTATAAACGTCACCAACGAATTCATACCGCAACCATTACAAATACTTAGTGTCAGATATTTAAATTATTTCCATGCACGTTTACTTCAACTTAAACGTATACCAAATTCCTACAAACATAAAATTCACAAAATAACTATCATTTAATTAAAATATCACTAAACCATGTACACGTCGACTTATTTTTACTTAAAAAAACATCCCAGAATTGCACAAAAATGGCATTGCGCACACTCTTCACTATATCCATGTACACTGCTTTTTCTCATAAAATTAGAAAAATTTCACGAAAATACATATAAAAATTTTATCAATCTTTAAACCCGGTAAAATGAACATATATGAAATTACCTGATCGCGAAAAAGTATTTACCCTTTCCAAATATGAACATTTCCACATATAAAATAAATAAAATATCCAAAAACTTTTACCTCTAAATCATCTATTATATTATAAACGTCACCAACGAATTCATACCGCAACCATTACAAATACTTAGTGTCAGATATTTAAATTATTTCCATGCACATTTACTTCAACTGAAACGTATACCAAATTCCTACAAACATAAAATTCACAAAATAACTATCATTTAATTAAAATATAATTAAATTCAAAAACACTACTTAAAATATAAATGAGCACATACATTAAATTAATAAAAATTACCTTACAATCCTAATTACTTTAAACTAAGTCATTGCTAATAACAATTTTCCCAATAATAAATACCAAATTCCTTTACTTCCACCTTACATTTAGAACAATGCATAAAAATAATATCCTCAAATAATTGAAAATACTAACTTACCTAATCTTCTTCAGAATCTTGATTACGTGTCCGATAAACTTTTCTTTAGTTACGGCCATGGGATCCAAAAATTCACGAACACTGTTTCACACAACACAGAATAAACCAAATACAAAATTTCCAGATTTTTTCCCGATTTCCCCCCTTTTCCGATTAAAGAACCGTAATTTGTCCATTAATATCACATGACATATCCCATGATCTCTCATTTCCCTCACACAAAATAATGCGTAATCGGAACTGAGTACTGCTCACATTATTACCAAAGTCCCAGGTAGTAACCTTTATCGCCTCCAAAATGTCGCCAAACTACCAGTTACCATATTGTAAAGATCAACCTTTTTTTTTCAGTATTTTGTTGCATTTTCATTTCTTCATATGAAATTAGTTTGGGACTTAAGGAACATAGTTTTATAACTTAGAAGTCGTAGGCACTGTGGTACAGCTGAAATAGGTGGTTGTCCTTTGGGATCATTTATCATATGACACATTTAGTAGGGATTAATGATATTAATCATCACAGCAAGTAAAAGATAATGACTCTTATGCCATATAGAAATAATGTGAAATAAACTGAGAAGAAATTTTTTTTTTTAAAAAACTCTGACCAAAGTATCCAAATTTGTGCGAGATTAGAACAGTTGCATACTTTTCTTAAATCTTGAAGGAAAAATATGAATGCCAACAAAATTGTGATTATGATCACATTGATAAGAAAGAATTCCTCATGAATATGGAAATATTTTAATTTCATTTCTGTTATTGCTAAGGAAAACAAAGCAAAAGTGTTGAAGTGAGGTCCTTTTGAACTTTTGAGCTTTTTTCTAAAATGCAAGCTTTGTTGAAGTCTCAAATATTGTAATAGTACTGTGAATATTCCTCATAATTTCTGTACATATTCCTTTTGAGAATTGTGTAACCCACCCCCAAGAAAAAAAATTACTGGGGACTTGCAAATATTTATTTTGAAATAAGAAATCTTTTCTAAACCATACTGAAAACAGCAACTGGAGCAATGAAGTAGGCATCTCCAATGTCATTGAGGGTTTTGTTATGCAAAGCAAAATAAAAGTATAGTTTTAAAATGGCTGAACTAGTGTTTTAAATAAAAAATAGATAGTTTTAATTTACGTCCCTATGTATAATTTATTCCCTATGTATAATATTAGCTATTCGCTTGTATATTGAGAGGGGCAATAAATTTAGGGACTGTCTTAAATAGCAAATTGCTGCGAGCAGCAAAAATTCTGGCTACATCACTGCATAGACACCTTTTAATATTGAAGTAAACTTTGCAAAAAATGTACAGCATTATCTTTCCTAAAATATAGGAACCCTTGTTATAACCCATGTGAGAATAGTTTTAATGTAATGATGACAATAACCAGAATAAATAAGTCTTCATAATTCAATGATGAAAATAAGCTTCTGATAAAAGTGACTAAGCCAGGATCTTATACCGGGAAATGCCAAAATATTGGGAGATAGTAATGCATAATTTATCCCTAAAACAATAAAAAAGGTATTATAAATTTCATTTTTTGATTAATGAATTAATTTCTAAGAAATAAATTATATGTTTTGCTAAAATGTTAAAATAGATTTAAAAATTAGAAATTGTTAAGCAGTTGTTCATTAAATATAGAATTGTTTTAAAACTTACTTATTTAATTAATGAGTTACTTCATTAAGAAAAAAACTTTTTCCTGTGAAGCAAAATCAAGGTTCCTTGACATATAACTAAATTTATTGATAATGTCTTCATCATTCACTGTACATTCCGCTGAATTTATTGTAAAGTGATTCTAGTTTGTCTACATTTTGATGACGTAGTCTTACAGTCAGCTGTCTAATGCTAAAACATTTTCTTATGTAGTGATAACAGAAATGGAAACACAGTTATTACAGTTAAACCTGTGTAACCCTTTCTGGCACGCTACCTTTTAAAGTTTGAATTTCGACCAAAAGAAAGAAAAAAAAAAAAAGGTAGGCAGTCTAATCAGGCCTAGAGGCGCTTACACAGGTAAAATTTTGTGAAGATAGCACACATCGGTTTAATCCTGTAGGTGTGCCCAAAGCAGGCACGTTGAATTGAATAGAGCTTCAAAAAGAGTGCTGAAACGAGCATTGCTGGGAAGCACGCAAAAAGAGCAAGAGATTTGCCTACAATTAAAAATGAATACTGTAGCAGATTTACAGATTTCGTACGGTTTTTACGAGTCCTTAAAAGTCTTTAATTTTGGCCGAAATCAGCAGAAGGTCCTTAATTTTAATCATCTGAAATTTCTGTCTGTTTTTACGACTACCATTTTGAGTGTGAATTAGCATTTTAGAGGAATATTTTTGGCGATTCACTGACGTATCTTTTGAATGGGTTCATGGGTTATAATTTGTTTCTATTTCTAATATAAGAGTGATGGGATACTCGAGGTTCTAAGCAAGAAGTGAAATATAAGCATAGCAAAAT